ATTCCTTTTTCAAAAACTTTTTTATCGATTTTTTTTTTATTTGACGTAAATTTTTTTTTTTTTGATGCCATATTCAAATAGCCCAGAATAGTCCAATAATAAAGCTATGAAAGAAAAATTTCAGTTGTAATATGAAGACTTGAGACTACACGAGACTCTCGCTGAGTCTGGTCTCCTCTCGTCGAGACTTCACGAGCGGCTGGGGGTTAAAAGGGGGGAGGTGAATTTTGCATAAAAACTCATCCCCCCTCAAATTACAGTTGACGTGTTTCAGGAATTATTCCGAAATGGCATAGGTAAGTGTAATATTTTCAATATTTGGAGGTCCGCAAATATTACCACAGTTTTTGAATGTTGTTATATTATTTCATCGTCAAGCATATACCATTTCATAAGTGCACCGGAGTAATCCTTGTTATCAATCATGTATCAAATGAGACAAGAAATTACCAACCAATCACAAATCACTGAAACAACTGGTACTTCCAAAGAGGTATTAAAATACTGGGGCGAGTTCAGGAATGACACAGTCAGTGTGAGTGTGACACCGGTGCGACGCACTAACCGTTCATAAATGCTATAGGCACACTGAGTGCGCACACTCTGTTCCGTTCAGAAAGTACTTCGGACGCGCACCAGGTGTCGCACCGGTCACACCATAATTTTTTGGTGTGGCTTCGGTGTGGTTGTGTCTTTATGTCAACAATGCCAACGATTCCTCCCATAATCTCATTATTCCCACCAAATATAAACAAAACACAAATAAGAATTAAAGTTTTTTCTTCAAATTAAAAAAATTAACAACAAAAAAAAAGTAATCTTAATACATTTGGTGAAATTTTTGAGGAGATGCTCGATTGATCACACCAAGCGTTCAGAAATTCATACGAAAGTTGTCGCCTAAGAATTGTCATTTCAGTTACACCCATAAAATCGCACTCACACCCGGGGTGCGTTCAAAGACGGCAATGCTGATGCCAAAACCTACTTTTCCCCCTCCACCTGGTAATGCCGAACCACGTAGGTTGGAGCCGAACTCGAACGCAAAATGCCAATTTTGGCTTGGCTGTAGCCATTTCTGAACGCAGCCCCGGTGTTTTATTTCTGAACTCGCCCCTGTAAATGCCGTATTTTGAAGAGAATGCGACGATGTAATACACTACGACATCTACCTAGCTGCTGTTTCTATGGCGACTATAGCATATAGTTCATATACATAGATGCGAAACACGAATTGCGAATCCGAATTTCGTTGAAAAAACATCGGCGTTTTTCAGCCATTTCATATACCTAATACTCAACAATAGGTTCGTTTCAAGGATAAATTTCACCAATTTTTGAGAAGCGACAACTTTTCAATAAATTAACAGAAAAATATGCCGTCTTCACCATTTTTGAAAGCGATTCCTTGTTAATCATCTGGTTCACACAAAAAAATATATAGAATTTGAGTGTTTTTCTATACAGGGTGATATAGGAAGTGCGGTAAAAATTCAAAATTTTTGTTGCCACCCCATTTCTACAATTATTTTTATTCACTTTTTCTAGGCATACCCGAATGATTATTATGTTTATCTCTCGAACCGTTTTCGGATTTTTTCTTATATCTTTTTTTGTATATAAAATAATGCAAATTTAGTGTTATAATGACACCCAGAGCTTCAAACCCGTCGTGAACAACTTTAAGCAGTACCTTAGGATCCGCTTGTTTAAATTTACTTGCTATGATCACAATTAAAACTAACTGACGTAAAAAAGCTTTATACAAAACATACAGGCTGTGCGAGAATACTTTAAACTTGAAATTTCTAGTTTTGCCTAATTTTGCCATTTTCTACACAGAAAAGAAAGTGTCAAAGACGGAAAATAAATTTTGAGTTACTTTGAAGGCCTTATATTACTTCTGCAGAGTTCTGCAATGTAATTCCAAAAAACAATTCCGAGGTTTTTTTTTGTCATCCATTTTTTCAGTAAGTTACGTCATAATTTGTAAACCTATAAAACAATTGTTTCCTCAATTTATTGTTATTTGCTGCCATCAACAGGTCCTAAGAGAATACATATTTTTACTTGCTAACATTTTGGATGAATTTTCAATAGTATATAGAGTTCTTGTTGTTTCTTATTGTTTGTTGCCAGTCGCAAGAAAGAAATGCAGGTGCTTAATGAAACATCAAGGAGCATATCATATGTTAGTCCAATAAATAAAGACTTTGAATAAAATAATAAATAAAATTACCATGGAAAATATTGCAATACACAATAAAGAAAACACACAGCAAAGCACGAGAAACTAAACTTCAAGAATTACAAAGACTAGACAATAGGAAGACATCCTAAATGAAATGTCCAAAGCCGAAACGTAAACAAAACAACCGAAGGAGCAGATCGGCTGCCACATTCAAAAACACAGTATCCAACATTTTTCATGAAAATTGGATTTTTGCTCCATGTAGATACTGTGTTTATTCCGCATTGTTTGCGCTACCAAGGTAAGCTTTACTCCTATAATTTACGAAAATAAATTTTACCTAAACACAGTATCTACACTATTATTTTTGAAATTCTACGCCAAAACCCAGCAAGAGACATTTTCCATACTATACAAACTAAGAAAAACATAGTATCTGATGGTACTTACTGTAATTTGGAATCAACTTGAATATTGAAATTTTGACAAAATTCGCCTGTAACACAGTATGTGGCAGTAACTGTGTATTGGAGAAAATATTTTAGTTAGCTGATTAATGAACATTTATCCAAAACACAGTAAGTGGTAGTTACCGTGTTATGACAAAATAATCTAGACAAATATTTTTGTAACATTCCCCAAATAAGTAGTCATCCACATACTGCGTGTTCGATTTAAACATCTCACCTAGCCTAACCTAAAAATTATTCAGTTGTTTGGTATTGTTGTGCTTGCAAGGTGGATTTTTTTTTAAATAGATTTTAATATTCCGGGCTGTAGTGCACTTACAAATGCTATGTTAAAAATGTTGAAACCGAGGGATAATTTGGTGGAAAATCGGTATGTAGTGAATTTGCATACATAATAAGCCGACTCTTGCCATTCACATAAGCCAAGACATAGGCATATGTTACCAAATTCATTAGCAGGTTATATTTTCACATTTTGTAGTTCTCCCGATTCACACAAATCGCCCTCCGACATATCTACGGAGAGGGATTTTTGTAAGAATAATGCGGTTACCGAAAACCTCATCAGAAACATTCAAGAGATACCTGGGCTGGGACTCTGTAACTAATAGAGATATTTTCTCTATCTCTATTGAGGTCCCCTCTCTATTGATTTCGAAAAGAGAGAAGAAGAGAGCAAGTGCTATAGCGATAGGGTTAACGATCTCTATCCGTAACAGAGTTCCAGCCCTGGATGCTTAAAGTACCTAAGTGTCTTTTATTGTTAGAGGAAACAAAGTTCCAAATAGTTATGGACTCTTTTTTTTAGCAATTTATTGCTAAATAAATCTACTGATGAAATTGTCAGTGTTGCTGAAGAAACAGATTAGTTTTTTTATGATATAAGGCCATTTTTTGATGACAAAATTGTTCATGCCAGTACACCATGCACTATAGTACTGTAGCTGTTGCCAAAAATATCCAAGAGGTAGCTGAATGCTCTAAGTAAGTGCAGTTTTTTTTTTTGTATTAGCGGAGACAAACTAAGTATGTATATCGTTGGAAAAAAACTGACCATATCCGTTTTTTCACCATTCGGCATTCCATTGCCAGATAAAGTATCTGATGAGCCAAAATGTGTTGCAGAAGAAATCGACGCCACAGAAGAGATCGATGCCGAAGAAACAAGATCATGTAGTGACGGAAGTGTTGATGACAGTATTGCTGATCCAGATTTCGTGCCAAGTGATACAGAAATGAGTAATCAGTAACCGACCCAGCAAAATGAGGATATGGTCATTGAAGAAGGTGAACAAGCCACAAGTTGCAGAAATTGGCTTTCAAAAAATGTTCACATAACTGGCATTAAGAGAAGAACTGTTGTGCTCGAAGATCGAAGACCCTAACGATGCAAAAAAAAAACAAGGGCGCATGTATTTTCTTCCTAAACAAGGAAAAAGCCTCAAAGTATGTCGACTCTTCCTTTTAACTACACTTGGATATACAAACAACTCGGTTATTACAGAACTGTTCCATTCCATGAAGATGGATCCAGTATGTTCCAATGTTAAAGAAAACCGGGGTGGCAGTAGCAAAAAATGTGATCGAGTACTTATAAAAAAACACATACAAAGTTACAACCCATGTGTGAGTCATTATCGTCGTCACAATGCACCCAATATTAAATACCTACCCTAGAGATCTGACACTTAAGGTGATGTATCAGGATTTCGATAAAAAGCAACCAAATTTTTGTAAACTTGAGGTTCACAGGCAAACTCTTAAATCAGAGCACATATCTTTACCCATGCTTAAATCAGATAGATGTGTGGATTGCGAAATTGTCGAAAGAAAGCAAGACGATGCCAGAAACTCGGTGAACAATGATGAACTGGTAAAATTGTCTGACGAATTAACACTGCATAAGCAAAAAGCTGCAAAGGCACATGCAAAATATGAGGAAGATTCTTTAAGTGGCTTTAATGCAGCACGAAGAGTGTACTCAATGGATCTTCAAAAAGTAATATCAATTCCGAATATGCCCTCAATTAAACATTCCTTCTTTGTCAGTCGCCTTGTTGCATTCAACAAGACCCTTGCAGCATTACAGAAAAACGGCCCAAAGACCAGTTACTGCGTCTTATGGCATGAAGCTTTAGACGGTCGAAATGGCTACAATATTGTCGATGCAATTCTGACTTTTTTTGAGCTAGAAAGAGATGTTGAAGACTTCATATTCTGGGCCGATAATTGCTCAAAACAAAAATTGGATTTTGTTTAAGGCTCTGGTATCAGCTGTGAATAAAATAAATGGGCCTGAAAATGTTACATTCCGCTATCTGACAAAAGGCCACACCCATATGACGGCGGATGGGGTTCATGGTAACATCGAGAAGCGCATTTGTCGCTTGGAGAATATTTATGATTATGACGATTTGAAAAACGCAATCAAAACATCAAGGAAAAATATTGCAGTAGTAGAATTGGAAGCTTTTCACGAATGGGACAAGAAAAAAAGACAATTACGAAAAAACAACGATTCGCTTAAAGAATTGTCGCTAAACTCCCTTGTGGAAGTCAATTTTCATAGAGGTTTCAAGGAAATGCGTTATAAAATTGATTTCGATGATGAATACAAAAGTGTAGATTTTCTTTTAAAAAAAATCAATATTGAGAACTTCATACCAGATATGGTGAATTAAAAAAGGAAAAAAAGAAAAGATAATGCAAGATCTCGTACCTACCTTTAATGCCAGCCAATGGAACATTATTTTAGGAAAGCCTTCCAGCAAACGAAGAGTCGAGGGATTTGATTGGAAATATTGATATAGAAGAGGACCCTTAAAAAACTTTTGACCTTTTAAAATCATTTGACCTTTTTTCAAGTTCAACTGTATTGAATTCAAATAAAAAAATATTATTTGCAGATACTACCTTTAATTTCTATTTCACTTGTTAGATTTATGTAACATATTTATGCCAAAACACAGTATCTACATTTTTTCAAAAAAAAAAACTGAAAAATCTCAAAATTTTATTTTACACAAAAAATTTTATGGAAATATATTATCCAAAACAGCTAAAACGAATTTTATGATGCGAGTCACATACCTACCTATTAAAAGTTTTTATTGATTTACTCAAATTTTTTAAATTATCAGATACCGCGTTTTGAAATGTGGCAGCCAAGATGACAACAGCATTTTTGAAATACGCATGCGCTGACATAAAATCCGCAACGAATATCGCAAAATATTAAACCAATTCCAATTTTCCCACCTCCTAAATTTCAAAATTTGCGAATTCGCGAAATATTGAACTCTGACAGATGTCGCTTTTATTGACAGTGGATTGACCAATAGGAGCGGCCTCCGCAATTCGTGATTCCCATCCATATGAACTACACTTATGGCGACTGCGATTTATTGCAACGTAGGGGAGAGTTCCCTTGAATTGGACGGCCCCTGAAAGGGACACACCTAGTTCGTGTATTCCTGGTTGCAGTATTAAAGTACTTATACTCCCTACCTATTTGTTAGACTAGTGTGATCTATCAGCACTAGTATCGGTCAGCTGGCGGCTTCGACCGTTGTTAAAATTTTCATTAAAATATTTATGGGTCAAAAAGTAAATATTTATGTGATCTTTGAAAGTAAGCAATTAAGTTGTTGTTCAAGATAATCAAAAGGACGTTATTTTATCGAAATCAGAATTTCTTCCAGACATAAAACGTCGACGTATGTAAAAATCAATAATAACAAAACCCATTAAATTTAGACTTTAAGGTTATGTTAACTTGATAATTTCCATGAATCGGACAGTCCAATATCCCATGAATCGGACGTCCAATTCATGGGATATTAGACTGTCCGATTCAAGGAAGCATACAGAATTAGTAAGTTTATTTATTTTCTTATAGAATTCATTTAATGGCTAAACGAGTGAGAAAGTCTGACGATGAAATTCGAGAAGCTGTGGATGCAGTTGTTAATCAAAACCTATCCATCCGAAGTGTTGCAAAGAACACTGGTATTTCCAAGTCCTTATTAGCTGTGCTTGTTAAAAAAGCAAAAAATGCTCCCGAAAATGAGTTTGTTTACAATAGAAACATTGGAAACAGAAAAACCTTTTCCAAACAACAAGAACAACTATTGGTATCCTATCTTAAAACTACATCTAAAATGTGCCATGGCCTAACAACTATCCAAACAAGAGAACTGGCATATCAGTTTGCTTTAGCAAATGAAATACCTACTCCACCCGAATGGATAAAATCTGCTAGGGCTGGCATTCACTGGCTTCACGGGTTCTTGAAACGAAACAAGGACTTGTCACTTCGTCAACCCGAAAACACTTCTTTAAGTAGAGCATCCAGCTTTAATAGATCGAACACACAAACATTTTTTTCTAACTTGGAAAATTTGTACAACAAACACACGTTTGCTCCGAACATGGTATGGAATCTGGATGAAACGGGCTGTATGACTGTTACTAAGCCACCCAAAGTTTTAGCAGTAAGAGGTTCTAAACAAGTAGGCTAAATTGCATCTGCCGAGAGAGGAACTCTTGTAACCGCACTTTTCTTTATAAATGCTGTTGGAGGAACCCTGCCCCCTGTGTTTGTGTTTCCAAGAGTGTATTTTAAGGATATAATGCTTAAAGGCGCGCCGGCAGGTTCTAAAGGTTTCGCGAATCAGTCAGGTTGGATGACGGAAGAGATATTTTTAGATTCGCTAAAACATTTTGTCAATCATGTGAAACCCACCCGTGAAGAGAAAGCCTTGATTATCATGGACAATCACGTAACTCATGTCAATATAAATATAGTCGATTTCGCAAGAGAAAATCACATACTTATTTTAACACTTCCACCACACTGCAGCCCCTTGACGTGGCAGTTTACAGTTCTTTTAAGGCAAGATACAAAGTGGCAATGAACAATTGGTTGGTATCTAATCCCGGTAAAACGGTCAGCATATACGAAATTGCAGAATTTGTTAACGCTGCATTTGGTGACTCATTTTCAATCAGTAATATTTGCAAAAGCTTCCAGAAAACCGGGATATATCCATTCAACTCTTCAGTGTTTACCGACGATGACTTTTTGGGCTCTTCTGTAACTGACAGACCAAAACCACCTGATCCAGAAAACCACAACCAAGTTGAAATAGAAAATACCATTCTTGATGCTGAGAGGCTAGATCCAACTCCATCAACCAGTGTCAATATTGAGAATATACCTCCAAACAGCTTTGAAAATATAACTTCAACAAAAAAGTCTGATTTGGAACCTACCGCTTCAACTAGCTTTGATCCTCGAGACCGAGCTCGGGATTATTCTAGAAGTGTAACTACACCTTCTTTAACATTGCAAGGAAGGGCCGAATTGAATTTAATTTCACCTGAAATCGTTAGACCCTATCCAAAAGCTCAGCCTCGAAAAGCTGTGCAAGGAAATCGTAAGAAAGGGAAATGTTGTGTTATCACAGATACTCCCGAAAAAGATGAACTCTTGAAAGCCCACGAAGAAAAAACAAAAAAAAGAAAGAAAGGTAAAAAAATTGTAAAATACGCCAAAGAAACATAAAAAAAAAACAAAAAGGACAGTTATCAAATCAGCAAATGCTCTAGAAAGTGATTCCGATACAAATACTGAAATATCGTTACATGACCAGTCTCCGTCACCAGAAAACCTGAAAGAATTTTATGAAGAAATGTTGGAAAATAATAAAGCAGACTCATCTGGAGAAGAACATGAAAAGGAAAATTCGGTTTGCCCAATCTGCAATGGAGAATACAGTGTGAGCAAAGAGGAATGGCTTCAGTGTCGAATTTGTGGAAAATGGTCGCATAACTCTTGCGGGATTCTGGGAAAATTAAACTTTTTCTGTAGAAACTGTTATTAAACTATATTCCGCTTTTATTTTAATTTTTTTGTATTTAATCTGTTGTATGTCCAGTTCATGAACGCCACCGTCCTTTTCATGGAAAGCTTTCCATGAATCGGACAAAAAAAAGAATTTGAATAAACGTATGTTGAAAAAAATTTATTGAGTTTTTACTAACTTTGGGTGTTCGAAAGTCTTGCTAATTTATCTGGCAATAATACAATGTCAAAAGTTTATTTATGTGTTAAGAAGTAATGTAGTTACAAGCAAAACAAGAAAAATGTCCGTTTCAAGGGTACTCGCCTCTACGCAGTATCCGCTAAGTGAAAAAAACAAAATGTTTAAACGAAAATGAAGAAAAATGTCGTAGTGTTGATACACCGTTGGATTCGCTTTAAAATATTACATTTAGTAATATCGTGAAAGTGGTAGGTATGTTTCTATTCCAGTTTTTGAGCTTAGGCAGAAATACTAAAAAAATGAAGTTTATACAGCCCTCTATCAAAAAAGTTCACAAATATAAAGTTTCAATATTTTTCTGAAAGTAAGTAAAGTATGTAGAGTGATTTTGGGATGAGGGGTTGCAGCAAGAACACACTTTTGGTGTCTATACATGGGTATGGAAGGCGTGCACAAAACGATATATGAAGCAATCGCAGAAAATGCATCCTGTGGTAGAAATTCGGAAAAAAAAACACATTAGTTACAGTTTTTTTTTTCGGGGGATTGCAGAGAAAAAGTGGTGGTACGGTATTAACAGATTTTATTTTTTTTTCGGGGGGTTGCAGGAAACAAGTGGTGGTACGGTAAAGGAATTTTTAAAAAGCCACCCTGCATGGATAATATCTGAAAATTTGAACACGGTAGCATGAGAAATGGACTACTTCTTCAATTTGAACACGGTAGCATAAGCCTAGCCGTTCAGGTAATATAAAGGTGTGTTTTTTAGGGGATGAAAACCTGTATTACAAAAATGCGCAATTGCCATTTATAAAAAATATACCAAAAAATCAGTCATACATCTGTGATGAATAACTGCAGGTTTTCAGGTTGATTCGCATTTGTATTGACGGAAAAAATTCGGGAGCATCTTTTTTCAAAAGTTTTCAACTTTGGAGCACCACTCTCGCTAAAGGGTAGGTGATGGAGACCATGCTGTCGCTGACGAAATTGTGAGGAATATAGTCCTCTACAATTCACCATGAAGGTTTTTCTGTGTATAACGCACCGGGAGGGCTGCGTTTGCAAAAAAGCAAAAATTACCCCCTTTGAGGGCTTGGAACGGGGTGATCTGGGTAAAGGGGCTTGAAATGGGGTGATGTCATAATCAGCATCCCAAATCCATAAGAAAAAAAAAACACAATCTTTCCACCATCGAGTTTGCGTTGTCAAACTCCCGTTTCCTAGGCGCTAAAACTAAGGTTAAAATCAAACTAAGCGGAAAAAATAAGGGGCTAACTTAACTAAACTTTAGACGGACCTTAAAATCACTGGTGCAAAGCAAAATCGTAGTTTAATATCTGATTATATCTAAAGCTGACCTTAAAGGGGGTGTGACCCAAAAAAACAACAAGCTACTTAAATCAAGAAAAAAAATTGAAGATCTCTCGTGAAAACCGCAGTCCTATATTCAAAAAAGTTTCTGAGATAATCTTTCAAGAAGATAAATTATGCGGGAACTTGTGCCTTCTGTTCATTCAGTCGTCAGTGAACCGTGCCCTATTCTTTCAGTAGTTGCAATTCGCTCTAAGGAAGATCGTTGACTTTTGTTTCGGAAAATTTTACAGGTATTTTAACTGTGCCTCCGAAGCCAGTGTGACGTCACACCCTAGGCGTTCATCACTTTAAACGGCCCTAACTCGAAAACGGTTCATCGTAGCAAGATGTGGTTAAAATTCTTAGATTTTTTTGCACTAAAACTCTCATTTTTGGTTCACACCCCCTTTAAGGTGTAGCGGTGCAAATAGCAGCTAATTATATATTTATCTAGCTAATGTTTATAAAATAGCCCCATTTTCCATTGATGGAGGTGCTTAAAAAACTCAACCCATTTGCAGTTCTTTAAAGCAGATAGTTCATTTGAAACTTCCAGAGCAAAATCAGTTTTTCAATAAAACGCTTCAGTTTTTTTCGGTCATTCAGCCCTATTCATGTGTGTCCTTGGATATTGGTTATTGCCTTGGTTATTGGAAAACTGTAAAAATATGGTGGATTGTTATTCAGGTGCTGCTTAGTTGTTGAATTGAATATTGGTTATTGAACGTCATATTGGTTATTGAAATTAACATCGAATATCTTATTCAGGTGTACTATATTTTCCAATAACAGTTTTCAGTGTTTCATATTTTGTAAGCAGGTGGTTCGGGCACCGGCTTGGCAAATTGGATATTGGAAAACTATTGGGTTTTGTGTTATGTTTAGAATTTTTCCTACAACTGCCTTTGAAAATGGAGTTTTTCACACGCTAGGCAACCACTGAAAATAGAGTTTTTCGCACAGTAGTGTGAGAAACAGTTCTTCACACGCTGCTTATTAGTTTTTTATTTATTATGGTTAATAAAAATTACATATTTGGTTGTTTTATTTTGCATTTGTAGGAAAAACATTGTGAAAAACTCGTTTGAAAACTTTTTTTCACACTCGCTCGACTTGTGGAATTCGCCTAAGTACGGCTCGGTCCAACAAACTGTCTAAGCCGTGTGAAAAAAGTCGTTTTCAAAACTTGATTCGTAACTATAGAAGTGAGTGGTATTTAATTTTCAATTATGGATGATTTTCCGTTGCTTATTGCAGCATTAGAAGGGAAAAATTAAAGGTGAGGAAGCTCTTTATTCCTGGTGAGTGGTATGAGCTATCAAAAAATCGTCTAAGAAAATCAAGAAGCAGAGTGCCTTGGATAACTATGATCGTATTATACTTTTTAGACTTGAACACAATCAGAAAAAGAATAACCTTTGGGAGACAAGCAATAACCCTTTGGATTTGCCAGAAAATAATTTTAAAAACATCAGCAGGTTTTGAAAAAATACTGCAAGGTATCTCTATCTAATCTAATTGAGGAAATTGGGCAATTTCTTCCAGATGCAGAACGTCCGCATTGCATCTTGCATCCCAAAGTCTGTGATTATTTTTTTAAGTGCATTGCATTTTTATTGTATTTTTGACGTGCGTTTTTCCTCCATTATAAAAGTGGGTATGAATATGACAAAAGGTTTGTTAGTTTGTGTCACTCTAACTAGTCTAACTTGAACTAAGCTGTAATATTTCTGTATGGCATATAAACCATATAAAACGCTCACAAACGCCCCAAAGCATGAAGGCCGCCCTGAACAACAGAAACAAACAAACCTAAAGAGTCACAAAGAATACCCATGAGAATTGACAAATAAATTCAAATAACTGACGAAGAAATGATAGATATTAAATTCCAATCCAAGTCAGCTAAATCAGGCACTAAAATAAATAAATAAACTCATAAACAACAAAATGAATAGAAAAGTGGGGTTACATTTTTAAGGTTTTTGGCAATTTTACAGTGTTGCCGCCTTAACTTATTCAATTAAAGAACAGTTTTCCAATTTCCAACAATCCCGTTTTCAAGGGGTACACGTGAATAAGAAATCTCTTCAATATTGAAATGTCTCAATATCCAATATTGGAAAATTTCAATAAACAAGTGGACACGTGAATAAGGCTGATTGGTCCTAATTCACGTGCTCCTTGAAAGTTGATTATTGAATTGGTTCTTGAAAAACATGGAGGTTTGCTATTCAAGTGCATCTTGGTTACCTGATTGAATATTGGTTAATGATTCAAGCCTTGAATATTGAATATTTTTCAAGTTGTGCTATTCTGGTGACCCAAAAATCAAGAACAGTTCTCAGTTTTTCAATCTGGTAAGGGGTTGAAACGAGGACCCCCTTACCGGATTGAATATTGAATAATTGGGAAAAATAGCCGCCCTTTTGAACATTCCTCTTTTGATTGCAGCTTTGCAAAATGAAAATTAATGGTGAAAAATTATCATTTAAGTAGGTAGTACATTAGTGTATTGTTATTTATGTTTATCAGTTTATCTTATTAAAAATCTTCTCAAAGGGCTTGCGTTATAGTTCAAGCCATAGGACTTCTAGATCTTGAAGGTCGCTGCTAGAATGCAATTTTCCTGTTAACAGAGTTCAGAGTTTTGTTTTCGCGTTAAAACTTCATATAAATTTTATTGTGTGTTTTAGAAGTCCGTTTCTTTTCCATATTAGTGGCGACTAATAACAAATTTGATATTTAAATTAAAATTTTCCACCCAGTTTTAATTTTAATGAAAATACAAATAAACAAAATATTACAAAGGCGAAAAGTGCGGTTAGGATGATACTTTGACAGAAAATTGCGTTGTTGCCACATTTATATATTGAATTTGATAACAGTTTTTCAATATTCGATATTTACTTCTCAAGGGGGTCACCGGAATAAGAATCTTTTACAATATTGAAATATTTCAATATTCAATATTGAATAATTTCAAGTTTCAAGGGGTGCACGTGAATAAGGCTGATATCAGGTTAATTTTTCCTTATAGCCGCCATCTTGAGAACAGAATAACTTAGAATTACGAGAAAGTTTATTATTTCAACACGATTCGGCAACAGCACTCAATGATTTGAAATTTATTATGAAAAAATAATCTTATTTGATATTGTCTGCTGTTTCTCAAAATTAGTAACGTAACAAGTTTTAACAAAATAAATAATATTTGAGGCGTTTTCTCGCGAAGCAACTACTTCAAAATATGTTTCAAAGCTGGTTCCAAACAATTCAAAAATAACGTCATTATTTCAACCCGCGAGAAAACTTTTTCTGATTGAAATGTGAACTATCACCCAAAAGCCAAAATAATAATAATATATTGTAATAATTATTGAAACTCTTTATTGCAGATATCCATTTCAATCCCTGTGATCGCGATCACACTGTTTTGTTTGATTCCCGAAATATCTGCGCTGTCATGCCTCGAAGTGAAAAGGTCCTACGAAAAAACTTGTTTGGAATCAGAGCACGACAACTACGTTCAATGCGTCAGAACGCGAATGAAACGGCATCCTCGGGATTGCAGCTACAACGACAACTGCTATGACTGTGACTGCGATTTATGTGCTTACAGTGAATGCGGAGGTAGGCATAAATTTTAATAAGTAGCTTATGTCAATTTTTGCTAACCTTAGAATAAGAGTTTTTTTGTAAAACTTATGGCGCTTCCAGGACTTCGTGCTTGTTTGCCTAATTTCAGCTATTGCATCGAATTGTCTAATCTGATTGAGTATCTTCCAGTCTAGTATTTAGCTGGACAGTGTGGTATGCGCCCGTGCCGATTTCCAACTCTAAAGCAATTTAAATTTTAAATGTTACATTTGTAAACTTTACGAAAGTCGCGTGTTCACTTTAAAGTATATTGAACTGGTTCATATTACGAATTGCTGAAATCGTTGGAATATCGGAAGAAACCGTTGTGAACAACACTATAGGAAGGAAAAAAAAAGATTTGCGCCTACTGTCCAAACAAGAAAAGGCGCATGATCACCCATTATTGCAAAAAGCGCAAAAAAGAATTTGCTGAGAACAACACCGGCTAGAAATGTTTATACGATATGTAAAAAATGTGTGTTTTATGTATTACATAGAGGGTGACATTTTAAAAACTTACAATGGCTATATCTCAGGAACCAAAAAATATATAAAAAATCGCTGAAAACAATTTCTAAAAATTATGTAATAACTAACTTGTTTTCACTCACCCCCAGCTACCCCAACTTAGTAATATTGAATGACACCCCCTACTTGTGATACCTTATCTGAAAGCTCTTAAAAAATGCTTTTTAATGGTACCCTACAAGCTAGGATTCCATGTGATTGTTTTTGGTTTATTGGGTAAATAAAACTTCATTCATTTGAATTAAAATTGTATTTTTTTAGACATGTCAATTTTTTCAGGTTCCCAAAACAACGAATAAACAAAAAATAATACAAGCCTAAAATTTTTAAGCCTCAAGATTAATGCTACGATAGTAAAAAAATGTTTTAAAATTTTTATTAAATTATTAGTCAAAAATTCAATTCACATTTCAATGGTTTTATTTTGAAAATAATTACATCGAATCCTAGCTTGTAGGGTACCATTGAAAAGCATTTTTTAGGAGCTTTTAGATAAGGTATCACAAGTAGGGGGGTGTCATTTAAGATTATGAAGTTGGGGTAGCTGGGGGTGAGGGGGTGAGTGAAAACAAGTTAGTTATTACATAATTTTGTTTCCCCCTCCCTACTATAGAAATTATTTTCCGCGATTTTTTATATTTTTTTTGGTTCCTGAGATATAGCCATTGTAAGTTTTTAAAATGTCACCCTGTATATATTTTTTCAAGTAATGCTTTTTTATATTTTACGAATGTGAAAACAATAAACTCAATCGCACAGAGGATGCGACTGATTGATGTTTTTCTAAGGTCCTTTTATAGTCAGAACACCTACCCAACAAATACAAGTTCGTCTTTAGTATGTACATAATACGTACTTTTTCGGACGAAAGTACGTTCGCGGACGTACTTTTTAGGTCCCGCCGACGTCTGAAGGACGTCTTTAGGACTGTCGTTTTCCACAAAATAGTATGTCCACGTAAATTTAGGGACGTACATAAATTTACGTGTTTGGGACGTACATTAACGTACGTATTTAGTATAGCTTTTTAGGAATGTGTTTGGGACGTACAGGGTTTTCCCATATATTTTTGCACCCCACCAGAACTGGTTGATTGAATATAGGCATGAAAAAGAGGTCCGTGAAGTTGGCCCCTAAAGTGTCAGTTTTTAGTGCTTCGTTAGTGCTTCTCAGTGCTTCAAACAGTTGCATTCGAGAATATTTCCTTTTTGAGATATTTAACTTTTAATTTTCAAGGTCAGCCCTCAAATTATATGGGATTGAGTTAAATCTAGAGTCGTTTTTTTGCGCATCGTTAGTGCTTTTCTGTGCTTCAGATAGTTTTCTTAATGCTCTTTTCGTATTCTGATTTTATTTTAAAATTACCACCCAAACTTGTTCCAAAATGTACAAAAAACACAGGGACGCCACCTCGGACGCCACTGGAGCCAACATTGGTTTATAGTATGGAGGAAATCTAAGGTGCCGGTGCGCTCTCTATCTCTCTCTTTTATGGTTATTTAGTTGTTTTGGAAAGGTCTATTTTAATTGGTCACTGTTTTAGCTGGCGCTATTTCGTTCGTTCAGACGCAGTTTTGACTGGCGCTTTTTTAGCACCGGAGCATCTCACTCCGGGGTAACTCGCCTTTGTTTTAAACAGAATGGCTCTGTCATTAAATAGCGCCCAACGAGGAACCGCACTTTACAAGTTGGAAAATGGCATATTTTTAACTATCAGTAATTCAGTATCAGTAAATTTGATACCTGTGTCATATTCGATATAAATACGACTCCTGGGGCTGGGATCACGACGAGTAGAATTCTACTTTCATGACGTCATTCGCGACCTATTTATCGCGTACAGTACAGGCGATGATGATAGTTGCTAGGCAACCTGACGTCATGAAAGTAGAATTCTAGTAGAATTCTACTTGTCGTGATCCCAGACCTGGGTTATATTCTGGCACAGCTTTTGACTGCAGACAACATAAGTAGGGGAGCTCCGAAAGAGAAATGGAGCTACTTATGGCAATTTACGCCGAAAACTCACGCACTGGAAGCCGTAGCTTAGAATAATTCAAATTTATGATAAAAAAATATTGTTTAATATTGATCAATATAATAGGCAAAGAGGAAGATGAAAACAAGATCTAAATAAAGGGTTGTTTTAGAATATTAATTATTAATGTAGTAAAACCGTGAATTAAACCAAGTATGCATGAAGCCAAAGCCCGCGGAATCATAACCTATAGTGCAAAAGGCCTACGTCCATCCGAGAAAGGATATGCCTACGTCACAACTGGTGATTTGGTGTATCATCCTTGCTATGAACCGATGTTGGCTTCAGTGGCGTTCCTGTGTTTTTTGTACATTTGGAATAAGTTTGGGTGCTAATTTTAAAATAAAAAATACTAAATAATCAGAATACGGAAAGAGCATTAAGAAAGCTATATAAAGCACTAAAAAGCACGAACGATGCGCAAAAAAACGACTCTAGATTTAACTCAATCCCATATAATTTGAGGGCTGACCTTGAAAATTTAAAGTTAAATATCTCAAAAAGGAAATATTCTCGAATGCAACTGTTTGAAGCACTGAGAAGCACTAACGAAGCACTAAAAACTGACACCAAAATTGGGTAATTCGGAAAATTTTTGGGGGCTGACCTTGAAGTGAAAATCTAAAATATCTAAGAAATAAGAAAAGCACTTTCGAAACTATTTGAAGCACTAGGAAGCACTAACGAAGCACTAAAACATAGTAACAAGTTTCGTTCATTTTAACAGATTGTCAGGGCTGACCTTGAAACTACAAAAAAATCTATATACAGAAAACGAAAAAAGCACTAACGAAAACAATTGAAGCACTAAAAAGCACTAACGAAGCACTAACAAACAACATATTTTTCCAAATAAAATTTAACACTTTAGGGGCCAACTTCACGGACCTATGAAAAAGATGTAAATACAAATGTTGTATTTACACCTTTTTGATATCTATTCAATTAACCTGTTCAGATGAGGTGCAAAAACCTAGTGGAAAACCCTATACATAAATATTTATGTGTAAGTTTATAGTAAAAATAAAACCATATATTGTATTTTGAAGTGACAATTTTTATACTTAATAAATACCTACCTTAACACTCAACACTAAAAAACTGAAAAAAATTAACATAAGAACAAATATATCATACCCTTAGATAACATACCCATCACCCTTAAACTTAAATTACATGGAAACATGTTAATATATTACAAAAATACTGGAAAAATACCATAAAACTTGATCGCAACTATACGAAACAAAAAAAAAATTATAGTGAAAGAAGAAATTACGAACTAAAAAATGTACAGAAATAGGTAGGTATTCCTACAAACATTATTGGTCCTTTTTGGCTCGTTCAGGCGCCCTTTTCAGCCAACCTTGAATGGCAACATCTGTCTCCTTCTGGGTCACATTAATCAGCGTTTCGCAAGATTCTAGAAAAAAAATAGCTTTGTATATTTAAGATGTAGATGAACTTGAAATAGAGAAAATGGATATGCATATGCATATATACCCGGTGCCCACGAAATTACTTTCCGGCTGCCATTTTTTTATTTGTCGATGGATATCAACGAAACTTGGTAAGGTTGATATTCTAACCCAACGCCATTTTTATGCATCTATGATAAGTTTGATATTAAATAATGTTGGTTTTTTGCATTTTGTCGTGAATATTTCTGGTCATCAGTTTCAAAACTTAAAAGAGGTGATGCTAAATTTATGCAGTTTAAACCACACTCAAGTGCTACATGTGAGAGGATTTTTTCACAAAGTCCAAAAATCGTCTAAACCCAAAGTACAATAGCTGATATTTTAAGAACGAAACAATATATTGGGTCCAATAACTGTACCAAATTTTAACATTGATAACACATTTATAAATAAGAAGAAACCCACTATATACAGCACCAACAATGTAGTGGAATCTATACTTTTCCACTACATTTACTTAAAAATCTTTAATCAAATAGAATATAGCTGTGATTGAAGAAAACACAAATGTTCCTTCTATCTTCTGTACTAAGATAGGTTCCCTTTTTTTGTAATGTGATGTATTTTCGTCGATAGTTTGTTTTATTTTGATTTTTTTTTTGACCAAAGATGGTATGAAACAAGATCACGAGTTTCAAACAACTGTTTTTATTTATTTTTGAATGGCCCCTCATGTTTTCAGGTTTTTTAAAAATCTCATATTTTCTTATGTTTTCTCATGTTTTTAATGACTCTAATTTCATGCTATAGAAATTTTAGGCCTGGCAACACTGTGTATTTATATTTTAATTCAATATTATTTATATTCACTTGCATTGAACTAATAAAGAATAATTTCTATTCAGGTAAGTAAATATGTTAACTGATGAAACAGAAACAACAACATAAGTATATTATTGTTATTTAAAAATTAAACAATATTTTTTGCTCACCGCTTCATTGAAATTTTTTTCGTCCTCCAAATAATTATTGAAAGCAGCCAGGTCTTCCTCCGTGCCCAGAGGACATTTGAATTTTTGAAATACCGATGAGTCTGGCAGTGGTTTAGTGGTTTTGGAATTGGTCATGGTTGCCTTCAATATATCGGTTGTGATACTCCTTAGGAAAAAAAGATGTCTCAGTATATCTCTAACTTCGCTAGTTAAATTGAGAAAAAAAAAAAAAAGTTCAATACATATTTCAAACTATCATTATTTATGTGTGGCTATGTAAAGAGACTCACCGTGTCTAGGGCTGCAGGTGCAGGGTTTTTCATTTGAGCTACCAGGAGTTGCAATTTCTGGAAAAAAAGATTTCAAGTTTTCAAGATTATATTTTTAAAACTTCATCTAGATGACAAAAAATTTTCAAATAATAAGAATATCTCACCAATCAGGCGACGCGAAGATGGAGTTACTTTAGGAGTTGCCAAGGGAGTCAGCGAAGGAGTCACCGAAGGAGTTATTGACGGTTGAGAGGATGGAGCCGTCTTTTTCGTGGATTGAGACGAAATGATCAGGCGACGCGAAGATGGAGTTATCGTCGGAGTTGCCAAGGAAGTCACCGAAGGAGTCACTGATGGACTTACTAATGGAGGCTGAGATGATGTAGTAGTCTTCTCTTTGGATTAAGATGAAACGGTCCCACAGTGTGACCCTTCTTTTTTTAGCACTTATTGCCAAAGGTACATCGCTGTCGGAGGAAAATTCTAAGAAATATAAATTGCTATGATAATAATTAACCTTTTTGGATTTTTGGAAAAACTTACCATCTTTTTGCAAATTTGCAGCTGGATTTAATTTTACCAGAGGGTCTAAAATAAGATAGAAATATTGATATTATTTAATAATACAGGCTCAAATTACTTACATATAGTTGGATGTGGTGGCAGTTGACTAAGACCAGCATTATCATCCTCAGTACCATTAATGTCTGAGCTGCTTTGCTTTTTTTTATTACCTATCTTCCTTTTTTTTTTTGGGAGTCTTCTTCATTTTCGGTAGTAGTTCCCAAGTCGTTCGTATCTTCAGGCAATTCAGCTTTACGACGAGCTTTTGCATATGATTCTAAATATAAGTTAAATAAATCGTTAAAGAACTATCTCATTTAAATTGAATTCCCACAATAGAAAATTACTAAGAAAAAAAAAACAACAAAACAAAAAAAAAAAACACTAGAAAGCCATTACAAAAAAGAAGAAGGTATGTAAAATAATATAGTTATTATGATTCGAATAATTGGGAAACAGTCAGTATCGTAGATTTATTACTCTTTAACAATTGCCTAGCTTTAGAAGCCTTTCGCTTCTTCTTCAGGGCTATAATAATATAATATAAAATAAATAAAAAATGAATATAATATAAATTAGAAATTAAATAAAAATTGTTATAAACTTTTTTAGAACATACCTTGTAGTGAGTCTATCGATTTCTCTGGGTTTTTTAAAGTTTTTTCATTTATGATATAATATAGATGTTTGTAAAAAATTTAATATAAATGTATAATGAAAATTATTTCAAAAAATGTAAAATATGGTATAATTTTTTTTGAAAATTTTGATTTGTGATTGATAGACTTGACAATATGACGAAGGTAATAAACCGGTATTGATTAATATACATTAGGAAGTTTTTTTATCCAGAGATAACAAATAGGAATATATTATGCTCAAATTACTAATTTCTGTTCTTTCATTAATTGAATTTTTCTGTTTTTGTATTTCCGTCATTTCTAAAAATAATCTTTTATTTAAATTCTTTTCTATTTGTAAAATTTTAATGTTATCGTAATTAGGTCGATGTCCAGTATCGAATGAATGTTTAGCTATAGCACTAGTTTCTTTTTGTAATCGTATATCACTTTTGTGTCCAGACATTCTGTTTTTTATGGTTTGTGATGTTTGACCTATGTAGATCTTATCACAGTTTATGCAAAGTAATTCATAAACAACATTAGTTTTTAATTCTATTGGATCTTTATCTTTTAGTTTTGTATTTAAATTACCAATAGTTTTTATGATTTTAAAAGAAATTTTGACAGATTCATTTTTGAAAAGATAGGCAATTTTTTCTGAAAGTGTTTTTATGTATGGTATTGAAGCATAATAAATTCTTGGTTGTTGATTATTTTGAATATTGATAGAATTATTTTGTATTGTTAACTCGTTCGATGATTGGTTATTAGTAGGTATTATCATTAATAATATTGTTGTTGAAAATTATTTTATTTAATAATGCATTTGGATATGAATTTTTTAATAAAATCTGTTTTAATTTTTGAAAGTTTAATTCTTTTAATGATGGATGAACTAATTTCTCAATTCTGTTTTTAAGTGTCAAGATGAGATTAATTTTGTGTCTATAACTATGATATGAGTTAAAATTAATATATCTTCCAGAATTTGTTGCTTTAATATACCAATCCGTTATTAGAGTTCGGTTATTCCGTATAATTTTTGTATCTAAAAAACTCGGGCGCCACCCTTAGGATTAATGTGGTTAAGGGCCCACGTGCTCTAAGTAGCTTTTAAACAGTGGAGACGGAAAACCAGAGGTCAATATGCGCATCCTCAAAATGAAACACAGAATCCAACTTACAAGTTAAAGTTTTATTTGCCCAATAACATCGGATAAAAAGGAACAGTGAAAAATGTAATTAAATGAGAGACGAAGAGCGGGGAGAGTGGAACGAAGTCGGTGAGAAGAATGTGTAAATACTATGTACGTGGCGGAGACTCGCGGTAATAAGATCGCGGAAAAATAACGGTATCGGTCAATAGGATTGCGGAAAAATAACGGTTTCGGTAAATAGCTCCAAGGAATTATTGATGCTAGGCTGCCGTGCTCCTACCACCTTCAGCTCGTATTCCAGGCGCATGCGCGAACTATGCAACCGAGTAGAGTGCAGGTTTAAAGAAAAGAGAAGGACAGAATTGGAAGGGTGCGTCTCTCGGTATCGATTCGGTCGGAGACGTCCCCACCAATCCTCTACGGAGAGAATAGAGCCGAAACGCTATTCGATCCGCAGTCCAGAGAATGACATAAGTATTGGAATGGAACCAAGAGAGATACCCCGTAATCGGTCCGGACAGACGCTCTCTTGGCTCGTCATGGAAAGATTAGAGCGCCCCGTAATCGGTCCGGCAGCAACCCCGTGCAATCCATGTCACCAATAAATATGCCAATGAAAGAAGAAAGAAATGTCAGAAATATAAGGATAGAAGCAAGAGTGAACCCCCGTAATCGGTCCGGACAGACCCCCCCTTGCCTCGTCATAGAAAGGATAGATAGCCCCGTAATCGGTCCGGCAGCACGCTATACAATCTATGATCCTTATACCCCTTAGAAGAAGATACCTGCCCTCTCACTCTACTTTACCATTGTCGACGGCGTCGCGGCGGATGACGGCGTCGCGGCGGATGGCGGCGGATGACGGCGGATGACGGCGGAGACGGCGGCTGAAGACGGCGGAGACGGCGGCGGAGGTCGGCGTACCTTGGCTGTCGGCTGGTCGGATCGGAGCTGGAGTCGGAAGCGGAATCGGAGACGGAATGCCGGTTCTCTTGCAGCGCGGCTATATTTATAGCCAAAAATCCTGGTACCGGCTTCGACGGTCGCGCGCAAGGAGTGTGGGTACGGCGACGATCGCGCGTCGTATCCACTCTACCAGTGCGGAGAGTACGAGGTCACGCGATCATGGGGAACTGCAGCGGGTTGCAACCCCTCTCAGAATCTACTCCACCCCGGGGTGAGTCTCATAAAATCCGATTGATTGAACTCGCGCTAATTTTTAACTAATTGAATGACCGGGATGCACGAAAAATTTAGTAACCTTCGTTACACACTCCCTCGTCTTCGGAAAAAATATTTTTACTTAAATATTTTATAAACTATATATAGGAATACAAAAAAAATATGAACCTATCCGGTTCTCTAAAGCAAAATAAAAGGTACTGAAAAAAAATTAAAATTAAAACTATATACCCAAAACGAAAAATAAATGTCCATATCTGTTCCCCCATGGTTCTGGCAATGTCAGAGGGTCGTCTCTACAAGCGGCTGGAATCGTCGGGGTCTACGACGACTGGTGGTTCCTCAGGCCCCCCTGGTACCTCACCAGATATAATAATAATTTTTACAAATCGGGTTCGCCTCTGGATAGGCGACCATATACGGACAACCACACAAGCGACAAGGCCGGTACTTGAGCTGATGCAAACAACACTGCACCCCTACGGATGCTGTGCTCTGTCGCCTGGTTGCCGGTAACTCCCGGTGTGACACAGACGCTTTGGTATATGGCTTGGGCTTTAAGGCACCTCGGTGTGTCGGCGGAGTAGACGTGGTCATATCACGTAATGAGCTTCGGGCTGCTCTCGAAGTTGACGGTTGTGGAGGTTTTGACCGTGACTCACACGGACATTCGGATGACAAGTACCCAACATGGCCGCATCGAGAGCAAAAGGTTAGGGGCTTGCCCCTACAGGCATTGCGGCGATGTCCGGGGTAGCCGCACCTCCAGCATAAGTCCTTTTCGACCGGCAGATATATGTCATCAAACATTCGCGTTTGTTTGGAGGTGGTCGGCTGTGAAGCGGTGGTTTTTGACGGAGTACCGGTCGGTTCCATAACGGTATTTGGTGGCGGAACGGTGGTTTCTGACGGAGCAGCGGCCGGTTCCAAAACGGTATTTTGTGCTGGAACGGTAGCAGGTGGCGAGGCGGGGCTGAATGAGGGTATCTCTGCGGCGGCCCTCTGAACCTCGCCTCTCTCGGGATCTTCGGCAGAATGCGGATAAGTCGGTATCCCAAAGGGATCGGTAAACGGATCAATCTGGTCCACGTTTTGGAAAAAAACGGGTTCCGGATTACTCTCTTCCAAAGCGTCTCTAAGAGCATCTTCTACATTTAGTGCAAGCTCAAGAACTGGGCTAGACATCTGGAAAAAGAGAAAAAGAAATAAAATAATAATTTGGGGTTCCAACAGGAGCGGACCCTTGGAGCTATATCGTAGATTTGGAGCCGGATAACGGAGAAAATAGGCAAGAATGAATGAAACTCGGACGCTCGAAATAAACGTAAATTTATAAAAAATCAAATTCCCAACAAATAAAAGGTAATTCAGTCAAAAACAAAATGAGGAAATGGTGGCAGTTCTTATTTTTTTTTACACAGCGGAGGGCACCATAATATGGAAGCGGGATCCATCACTGGCCCGTAGACGCAGTCGGAATCGGCGGGCGGCGGGAAAGTTGGCAGGTCGGAGCCTTAATAAGGCTTCCTTATACGTGGAACTCCACTGGCTCCAATCTGGCTGCTTCTGGAATTGGTCGGCAATATCCCGTGATTGAGGCTGGAAGACCATCACGGCTGTGCTGGTCTTCTGAGTGTTCGATTCCGGCCTCATTGGGAGCCTTTCTCCTGGTGGCAGCGGGAGTTCCATCACGGTTCGGGGCAGTCGAGGCTTGCCCTTTTCAGCCCATCAATCCCATAGAGTGGGATGCAGACGGGATAAATCGGTGGTGACATCAACTCCTCGCCGTCTTATAGTATTCGGTACGGGTGCATATGGGACGGCGGCGGTGACGGAGGTAGCTGGAGCAGTTGAAGCGGTGCGGGCACGAACTCGGGATTCGCAGCGATAGCGGGGCGGAGATAAAACGGACGACTGGATATCGGTGATGGTACTGGTAGTACCCTTCGAAGCCGTCCTGGCTAGCGGACAAGGCTGACAAGGCTTGCGCTCCCAGCGCACTTTTTCCGGAACTACCGGTGCGGCTGTTTTAGACGGCGGCGGGAGCACTTGGACGCTGATAATGTTCACTCTATCAGCTGGTGGTTTGATAGTTGCACTAGACGGAGCAGTGAGTGGCGGCTCTGGTTCGGTAGACGGGGGTGTTACGGGAGCCGCCGGGAGTAGGTGGGCTCGTAAAGAGGGACCGGAAAATCGTGAGCGGTATTTTCTGACGGTCTGCTTCACCTGCTCTAGCTTCAATCGGGCTTTTCTCTGCTTTTCCAAGCCGTCTTGACGTGGAGTACACAGAGTTGCCGGATCCGGTCGAGACTTTTTGGGCGGATTCATTTCTCACGTCGGGGTCGGATTTTTCTTATCGGGCAACAACGCAAAACAACTACACACTGTGCTGCTATAAACTTGAAAACCGGACTGAATAAAAAAACAAATAAAATAAACAAAATTCCAATGCGGATTCATCGGTACATTCGAGTAGAAAAGGATGTCTAGGTACAGGCTGGTTTAAGATCTTTGATGTGAATATGTCGGAGCTTCTTAACGGAACCGTCCTTTAAATCATAGACGACGCGCGATACTACTTTTGAAACGGTGTACGGCCCGGAATATTTTGGGGCTAATTTGGCGGCAAAACCTTTAACAGCGGATGAAAGCGGATTTTCCCTTCGCATTACTTGGTCTCCCACATGGCATCTCCATTCTCGGCGGCGAAGGTTGTAATTATGGCTTTGAGTCGTGAAAGCTCTACCAAGATTCACTCGGACTAACTCATAAACTTCCTGTAGTTTCTTCAGACGTTCGGACTGAACGGCAATGTGCGTAGGCTCGGATTCTTCATTTCGGGTATCCTCCGGTGTAGGATTACAGTATAATGCTTTGGGCGGGTCTAGTTCTCGGCCAAAGTTTAGAAAAGCCGGTGAAAATCCGGTTGAATCCTGTCGGGAGCTGTTAAGCGCAAACACAAGTTCAGATAGGTGAGCGTCCCATTTCCGGTGGTTCCCGTCACAAAACTGGGCAATCATAGTCTTGATTGTTTTGTTAGTACGTTCTACAGGATTTGCCTGTGGAGTGTAGACTGGGGTAAGGCGGTGAGCAATACCCATCTCCTGCAGAAGCTCTTTAAACGGTCGTCCAGTATATTGAGTTCCGTTATCTGTGAGAACGGTTCGTGGACACCCGAATTTCGTAACGACTTGCTCATAGAGTGCTTGTGTAACAGCCCGCGAAGTCGCCTGTCGGATCGGTCGGCATTCTACCCATTTGGTGAAGCGATCCTGGAACATAACTAGCCAGTTATGCCCTTTTGTGGACCGGGGTAGCGGGCCTATTAGATCGGTAGTAACCGTCTCCCACGGTTGTGAATTGCGAGATGGCTGCATCTGACCTGGAGTTTTCTGCTGTGATGGTTTATAGCGTTGGCAGCAGAGACAAGCTTTGACATATCGGGCTATGTCCCTTATCATACCTGGCCAATAATATTTCCTACAGATTCTGGCGGTTGTTTTAGCTATACCTCGGTGTCCGGCCATAGGAGAGTCATGGTTTTCCTCCAGTACAGACATTCGGGCACTTTTGGGTACGCAAATTTTCCACGGGTCAGACATCTCATTTTCGGTCAAATCGGACAAATCCCAAAAGTGGCGGTATAATTGCCCATCTCGGATGCAAAAATCAGGAAAATCGGCAGGATTGTTCTCCACGGAGGCCTTTTTAGCACTATACCAGCTACACGGCTCAAAGGCTTCCAGGCTTAAAATCGGTTCAGGCTCCTCGACCTCGAAACTATCAATCGGGTCTCGGGAAAGCGTATCGGCAACTTTATTGAGAACTCCTTTGCGGTATTTTATTTCGAAGTCGAACTGTTGGAGATAAATACTCCATCGAGCTAATCTACCGGACGGACTTTTTATTGAATGTAGCCATTTCAGGCTTTGGTGGTCGGTAACTACGGTGAAACGGTAACCCTCCAGGTAGGGACGCATTTTCTCAATACCCCACACTATTGCAAGGCATTCTTTTTCGGTAACGGAAAATTTCTTTTCCGCGGGACTCAAACTACGGCTTGCATACGCAATGACATGATCACCATCGGTACTATGTTGGATTAACGCCGCACCTAACCCATTATCCGATGCATCTGTTTGCAACACGAATGGCTTCGAAAAATCGGGACAAGCCAAGATTGGGGCTTCGGTGAGGTGATTTTTAAGAGTATCAAAAGCCGTTTGCTCAACATCGGTCCAAGTCCATCGGATGCCCTTTTTAAGTAGGCGGTTAAGTGGGCTAGCTATTTGAGAAAAATTCTGTACGAAGCGGCGGTACCACGAGGCTACTCCCAAGAAGCGTCGTAAGCTACGGATACTGGTCGGAGCTGGCAGTTCTCGGATTGCCGCTACTTTGTCTGGATCCGTACGGATTCCTTCGGAAGTGACAAGGTGTCCCAGATATCGGAGGGAACGTTTTCCAAATTCACACTTATCCGGATTGAGTCGTAAATTGGCCGCTCTAAGACGTCGGAAAACTTCGGTTAAATTGTTCAGGTGCTCTTCAAAAGTTTCGCCAAGGATTATAATGTCATCCAGATATGCAAAGCAATAACTATCTAGCTCTGGGCCTATAATGCTGTCCATTAACCTCTGGAATGTAGCGGGGGCGGAGTGTAACCCAAAAGGCATTACTCGAAACTGGTATAGACCCATTCCTGGCACGGTGAAAGCGGTAATCGGTTTACTTTTCTTGGCAAGCGGAATCTGCCAGTATCCTTGTTTAAGGTCGATACTAGAAATATATCGGGCCCTTCTTAATTTGTCCAGTATAGAATTAATAAACGGGAGAGGGTAAGCATCCTTTCGGCTAACGGCATTTACCTTTTGGAAGTCAATGCAGAAACGGTGTTTCCCATCCTTCTTTTTCACAATGACTACGGGTGAACTCCAGGGGCTGTCGGACGGTTCAATGATCCCATCATCCAACATCTTTCGTACTTCGGTGTTAATTATTTCCTGCATTCTGGGATTCTGAGGACGGTACCTCTGTTTAATTGGATCGGGATTCAGTAAATTAATAGAATGTTCCACTAACGGAGTAGTGCCTTTGATTTGATCAAACTTTGGCAATTCGTGGTCCAGGAACTTCTTCAATAGTACTTCTTCGGCGGACGTTAATTCTAGGTTCGGCGAAATATCTATCGGGCCAATCGGACTACATAAAGTAGGAAACGGTAAAAGACAGTTGTTCAAATAAATCTCGCCACTGCCCAAATCCAGATGGAATTTGTGTCGACTCAGAATATCCATCCCAAGCACAATATCGGAAGTCAAATTCGGAAAGTAGGTAGCTGATGGTTTCGGTCAGTGTAATGTTTCCGAGCTGTAACGGTATTCGGTAAGCTTTAGAAATATCGATTACACCTCCATTGGCCACTTTGGCACTTCGAACCTCAGTTTGTACTTCGGAATAATCACTGAGACGGCAGATATCGGCAGCGAGATCCCCTATATACGAGTTGGCGGCACCGGTATCGATTAAAGCTAAGAACGGGGCCTCTCCTATGTAAATGCATACATGCGGTCGGGAATCTGGTAGACGAACCGGGTTCACACCTGTCGGAAAATATGGATGTCTATTCGAGGTTATCAGTTCACGGTGCTGGGCTGACCTCGGACTAGGACCGCACCTTTTTAGTTTCCCGAACGGGAACGGACACATGGGCAGTCTCGGGACATTATACCCGGTTTTCTGCAACGGGAGCAGAATAATTTTGCAGTATTCCGGCATTCTGTTCTGAAGTGTCCAGTTTCTCCACACTTCCAGCAGATCATTGCTTCGGATCGATTGTTCGGTCTAGAATTCCGTTGGTACGATTCGGTTCTATTAGTTCTTTCGGTTCTACGGTTTTGCTCCCAGTCTCTCGCTGGTGCTGGGTTTGTCGACGGGTTTTGGGTAACAGAAATGCCGGCTGGTGAACGGGTACTTCTAGATGTGGACGGGGTTGCCTTTAGTTCGGACAAAAGGCTTTCGATTTCCCTTAGGGTACGGGAAAATGAAACCACATCGGTAATGTCGCTTTTCCGGATATGTTGTCGGTATTCAGGTAAGAGGTTTCTATACAACCACTGAAGCTCCTGATCTGGAGTTATGCTCCCATGCCTCCTGATGAGGGTTTGTAGGCCGGTAATATATCGGTG